TCAAAGCCAGACCATTGGCACCGGGAACATGCCGGCTCTAGTGAGACTAAATGCTGACAATTCATGTCATACTTCACTTCCGACCACAAAGTGAGCCAAAAAACTGGTACTCATTTTCATTATGAATATTTTTGAAAATATATGCTCTTTTCAGTTAGTAACTTTGTGAGCCAACATCACTTAAGATGATGTCAGGACTGATTATGAGGCCTATTCTACAAAGAAATAAGTGGGTTTCATGAGGCAATTGAGGTTCACTGTCTCCAATTCTCCAAACGGTTTTTTTGTCATTCTGATTCGACTACGGTTTCGACATTATCAGGGTCTCATAAGCACACCATATAGAATTAGAAATTAGGTCGACATTTTACTACAAGCTGCTCAACCGTAGGTGCCAATGAGCCAAAAAGTAAATGCGATTTTTAAGACAAGCCATGCATGTCTTAGGGCACATTTTATAGTGAGCTTGCCGGTGAGGTAAATATGTATGCACCAGTAAAATCGACTACTCTACTTATATTCGCCACGAGTAGGGTGAATACATCTCACACACACACATATCTAATGCTTTGACAATTTATGTTGTTGTATTAGATGTTTTTATATTTGTTTGGGTTGTGATTTCTATATTTTTAAACATAATGTTTAGGATTAAGTAAGGCTTTTGGTCGGGGTAGCTTTGAGTTATTATAGTATGTTTTTTTGTTTTTAGCTGGTATTTTTATTATTATATTGGTTGGTATAAATTTGGTTGTTTTACGGGATATGATAAAAGGTGCTAATGTTTAATATATTAAAACAGACTCTGTAAATATAACAGGTCACCAATGATATTGATCCTATAGAAGAGGCTAAGCCGATTCTGGGGTTGGTTTTGATTCATATATTACGGGGTTGGTGAAAACGGTTGATCGTGAGCCAGAGCTTCTCGTTAATAAATTTTATTTATTAAAAATAACTTCTGCGGATGTGCTTCATTCCTTTAGTTTGCCTGCCACTATGGTGGTCACAAAAACATACTCAAAGAGAAATACGATAACAAGATAAACTGACAACAACTTATCTCCTTCCTAATCGAGCTTGAAAAGTCTAATTGCCTCATTGCTATTATGCAAGAGCCCATTCCAGTAGTTAGTGTTTGGAAGGGACTCGGAGTCGGGACCCTAAGGCCAGACTAGCCAGGGGGCAAGAGGCTAGAATGGGTAATGAAAGATTGCCTTCTTCCAGATAGCCACAAGGAGCCTCTGAATTTATCAAGTCAATACAAATGTGACATGACATGGCAACGCCAGGCAATAGCAAAAAATAAACTTTAGGATGACCAAAAACTAAAGCATACGTTGAAGCATCACAGGGTTGCTCGTCTAAGGATCGAAATACTCACTTCCGAATGTACAATTAAATAATAACATAGCAGTTCCTCCAGCTAATACACGAATAGGTGTAAATAAAAGAAAAGAGTTAAAGTAATAAGCTAAAGCACAATTACGAGTACTTAATATACATTTTACATACAACTTAGTAACTAGGCCAGAACATGCAAAATAATCGTAAATGAGTAGGTTTTCAAACTACCAGTAAATCATATATATGAATTGTGTTCGCTTTATTTCATTTAAAGTGATGACAGACGGGTAATTTATTTTCCCACAATGATATGGGTAGTGTTAACGCTACTATACAATTTTACATAACATTGCTTTCTCAAAAGTTGTTCTCCTCCTTGGTGGACCTTGCCTAGGTCTTGTCAACACCCCCAGCTCAATTCTAACCATGACTGCTCAGTGTGTAAGCTCGTCATGTTCGCCTCAACGCCACATTGTCACCAATGCCGTTGCATCACATGGCAGATGTGAATTTCAAGGACTTTCAAACACTTTCCATATCACATTATGCGTTGGGATTGCCGATGTAGAAAACTTATATTTACTATATCAATCTACGACATTACTTTTATCATAAATGAGTAGGCTCATCACCTTAAACGAAATAGGGTGAACACAATTCATATATGCTGAATAATAACAACAAATACAAATAATAGTAAAAGTTGAAGCCTCTAAAATACTAGAAAGATCAGCAGGATGACAATATGTCGACGAATATGTAGCACGACGTTTACCATACACACCTGAGGGGGGTGGGAAAAATGTTCAACCTATACAAATTCCAAAAACATAATAATTGGTAAACTAACTGGTGCACTCCTGCTTGAACCCAATTAACCAGCATCACGCTTGCATCCGTCAGACCATCTTCTCCTAATTTAATAAACATTTTGACAGCTTCAAACAAATGGCACTTTTACATAATTATATCTATATTTTTTAGCTAATTTAGATTGAAGAATAGCATAAATTGAAAGATTCTGAAACCTAATGAGGATTACATTGCAGCCGAAGCTAGCGATATGAGTACAGAAGTCCTCGGGGTACCGTCTTCCAACCTCGATCGGTCAGTGCTAAACTGTTGTGTGTCTCGGCATGGCAGGCATCGCCCAAAGGAGAAGTTATTAGTTTCAAACTTTCACCTTGCCATGAGCTAGGCTTGTCGGCCATATGTAATGCTACCCGGTTAATTTAGCCTTATTTTGATTTCATAACGAGGCATCCCTCTATTTGGTAGACAAATTTATGCTCCTGAGAAAATAGGATTATTGAAGTTAAACGGATGCTCGATCATATCTTTATAAACCTCAATCATAAAAAACTTCACCTTTTAGTTAAAGTGGCAAAATTCGTCATCGGAGGATGTGCACCTTGCATAAAATAGTATTTATCGCCAGTAATCTGAGCCCCAGCAGTGTAAAACAAGTGGTTACTAACGATTGTCCTCCGACCTTATTATAAAAAAAGTAACTCCCTGATGAACAGATGAAGTTGAATACCGACTTCATAAGCTAGAAAGTCACGCTCTTTGAAAACAGTTATTTTTTGGTAACACCCTTTGCTATGTGGCTTTATTATCTTCTGGACAAGTTAATGATCTTTAGGTATGAAGACCAAGATGTTGTGGCCTTTTGCGTGGTCGCAGTATCCTTTTGTTGTATAGAGGCTGTTTGAACTTGTTTTCTCAACATGGTCATATTGGTTTGAAGACTTAGAGGAACGCACCTAGTCCGGAGTCCATTGTATACATCATCATTTTCAGAGTAGGACCATGGACATGGTACATTCCCAGACATTTCGCCGGCATCGTCAGTGAGTCTCGTTATTCTTAGCACCATTAACAACTCGTCAAAGAGACAAGTAAAGCCGATCCTTTGACCAAACGTGTGCTAAACAGTTGTGGTATCTC